TATCAACATTTTCCAAAAAAGGATAAAAACTTTATTAATATGACGCTTGAAAATTCATGAAGTGAAAGGTTCTACAGTTAGACAGCCTTTAAATATGTATGAACGACTCATTCAAAGATGCATTTTGACTGCCATAAACTACCTACCAAACTGTATAACTCTCTACAACAGAATACATTGAAAACAATGGAAATAAAGTGCGCGTGTTAGAAAAAAATGGTATCGGGAATATCAATGATGAAAATTTTTAATACTTTTAATGCATAAGAGAGTTGAACACCAAATGATAAGTAGTATTTTTGAAAACTAAAGAATCGTGGTTCCCAATACAATCTAAAAGTGACTGTCAAGAGAAATAATTATAAGAGTTGTCATTGCCAACAATATTAATTATTAAAATAGCAGCTTTCGATGGCTTAGCCGTCATCATCAGTTTTCTGCTGTATCAGTGATCTGCGTACTATCTAGTAGTCGTTTTCGTGGCTTCTATACAGCAGAAAACTGATGAGGATGGCTAAGCCATCGAAAGCTACTATTTTAATAAATAATATTGTTGGCAATGACCACTCATATAATTATTTCATTGGGAATGCTAACGAAATCTCACCACAATACCAATAACTGTCAAAAGTTATATCTTGTTATTTCTGCAAAGAAGGATTTGTAGAGAAAGTCATATGATTGATGTGTGTTAAATCCAATAAAACATTCGTCTATATTGCATGTAATTTATCTTTTTTAAAATAATTTAATACATTTTCTACTTGCAAAAATATGATGATGCATATTAACTAACAAGTGAAAAAAGATATAAGCTCTTGACAATACGGAATCAAGTTAATATATATGTTCTTAAACATGTGTAGTGTTTTAGCAGTTGCTAAGATGTGAACGAGATTCCAAGAGGTGGAATATTTTTTAGTGTGCGGGTAGATGAGAGCCTTCATCAGTATAACCGGCCCTAATTCCTGATAAGGTACCCCGTACTGACACTATTCCTGCCTGAGTTTCATATTCAAGCAAAGCTCGTGATTTTTTCTTTAACAGAGTACTAAGTCCTATGTATATGTATTATTATTTTTTGCTCTCATTAATATTTTCTCTCATTTTAAATCACACAATTTTAGTATCATCTGAAAACTATAAAATTGCACGCTATCTTCTGTCATATGTTCATAACTTTGTTTGGTTGTGCTACTTGCGCTAGGTATATCGAAAACAACCGTCGTTTTGTCGTCTTGCGCGAGCAAGTGTCTAAGTATGAGATTACACGAGTAGTTAGCGAGCGGAAAAAGTGAATCTCTTGAGACAATTAATGAGTTCTACTTCTGGAGTTTACTTACCAGTTACCATCAAATCGGTGTTTACACTAAATACTACGACAATTTACAACATCGGTAAAGCGACGTACAACTGTCTTTCATCTTTAACAACTTGCGTCTACTTTTACGTCGAAGAAGGTCGACTTCATCTGGTGTGAACTACTTTCGGTGAGCTATCCAGGCCTGTCGTGAGTCTTGGCGACTGTTTTCACGTTCTTTGTGAAAGACAACTGACGTTTAGGGTATATTTATTCCTATTCCTACAATTTCAGTACTTATACAACGATTTACAATTGTCTTGAAACTGAAATAAAACAACCGATAACATATTAAAATAGAATTATTTTTTATTATCTTTTTCTGACTTTCCATAGATGAAAATCGAATTATTTAAACTTCCCCGAGTTCAAATAAACCCGCTTTTCTTCTGCAATGAATAAAATGATCGTTTCATTATATCATACGTAAAATGAAAAATTACTGATTATCTTTTTTAATGCATTGCTATTCGCAAATACTTCATTCGAAATACAAATTGAAAACTGATCGTACGACATTGCCCTGCACACATACATTGCTCTTCCCGGTGTATCGCGACACTGCGGAATTTTAATCATAGCTCCATTCCACGGAACCTCGGACAGAATTTCAGTTGAAATTTCAAGCGCAGTCAAGGATTCTCGAAACCCGGGGGCGGAGAATTTCGCGAACACAGGGCACAACGCAATAGAGGATGCACGAGCATTACGGCTGCAGGCCTCAGCCCTCGTTCTCTTCTGCTAATGACCCGGTAGGAGCGAGTGCACGAATTCTGAGAGGAGAAACGTCATATTCGGAGCCGGAGGACGAAGAGAAAGATGGAAACTAGAGAACGAAAAGAGGAGGACTGGAAGCAAGTGAAAGTACATTTACTGCTGGCCCTGCTAACTAGTATTACCAAATTACCAAGTTCAAAGACTACGAGAGCCGGGATATTATGATTTTCCACGCAAAGTGTTGCTTCAAGCAACTTGTTGTCTGAGGATATACTTCAGATAGCATTGATGGTACACATATCTGTGATCATTCCACAAAACAAATAAAATACGATTCCGCGTTCTAGATGTATCATATCACAATTAACATGTGGATATGTTCATCATAAAGTGATACTTCATTAAATTTGTGATCTCTCTACAAATTTTCTAATTATTCCATGGAACAAATAACAGACGATTTATCGTTAACTATTATATTTATATTGGAAAATAATGAGAAAACATCTTTCCAGACTTTCTATACATCATTTTTGAGGAAACAGACAATGAGGAGAGTTCTTTTTTGCGATCAAGAAATAGAGGAAGTATTTTATATAATAGCATTGAAAGCAGTTTAACAATAATTATGACGTCATTTTATTTCACGTAAGATGTTTCGTTTATGTTTTAAATCGATTAATGTGTGACTTTTGGTTCTTGAGGCAGATTTAACAATTTCAGAGATAAAAGTATAAAAATATTATTTGTGTTACCACTTATTGATAATTTCGTGGTATGACCAAACTGTATAGTCTAGTTAATATTCTAGAAGATAATAAACTGGGGTTTCAAAATAATAAATTTGATGTAACATATGTGCACTTAATTGAGTAGCTTGAAGGGAATGAGCATATTCTGTCCCTATTACCCGTTTTGGTATTCATATTTGATTTAACTTGCAAAATGGTTTACTTATTAATGGGTTTTAAATATACAAGGATTTTTGCATTCCAGTCTTTTGATAAATATTTATTTTTGGATCCATTTCTGTCTCCCCCAAAATTCCACCAACACCCATCTTCCTGCTACATTGTGTTTTCTTTTAAAACAACGAGTTTTTAATTTTTCGCCCCATGTACTGTTCATTTCCTGACCGAGAATGGTGAAATGACTAGTTATATTGTTCAATGACACTTATGTTACGAGAGATAATCAGTCAGGAATTAAAAGGAAATAATAATAATTTAATCGTTTAAAATATTATGCAACTGTTCTCCTTCCGTTTAAAATATTGAATTGTAATTTTGAAATGAGAGCTGGGCAACTTGTGTTCACGTCACCATCAGTTAGTTCTCTTGCAGATTCCAGGAACCGTCCACTCTCGTCGCCCATGTGCCGTTTGCCGCCTCTTATGCCCGCGTGCCAGTTGTGCCCGCCCACTCGTCTAACGAGCGGCCCGACGCCAGATGCCCTATAAGACTCGGACGTGTTCTGGCCGCTCGCGCTACCCCCGCACCACTTCCACCTCCTGCACCACCTCAACAACCTGCCCTGCATCCACCCTAGGGTTGCCACCTTGCCAATTCCAGAAAACCGGAGACCGCTGCGACCGGGGGGAGGGGTAATTATTGAAATCTTAAAAAGAAATGACGCAGACTTCTATTTATTTCTTTATAATATATTTACATATCTTGGTTCTAGTGATCTTAAATAATTAAACATAATTATTCAAAATACGTTGTTGCACTTTGCTAACATTTCGTACTTTTTTCCAGCCTAGATACTTTTCCGTTGCTCAGAGCCTTTTTTAGCCAGAGCTATTTGCCAGGTTTTTAAGAAAATCAACTGAACTGATCACAATCAAAAGTCCCGTAGTTCAATTTTACAAATAACTCAGATTTTAACGACGGCTAGATTTAATTCTGATTCGATTTCGGTCCAAACATTAAACATTATCGAAAGCAATTCCCTCAACAGGAGAGTTCGCTACTGGACGATAGATAAATTCCCGGCGAGATTATTCTTGAACAGTATACTGCGCGATGCGATTCTCGCATAATCGCTAATGTTTGTCTCTGTTCTATAATGGCGTAGAAGAAAAGACAGGCGGATGGCGATAACCAGAGAATCGCCAAGAGACAATTTTTAGTGATCTGCTCTTTATCTTTCTAATGGAAGAAGGAAAGGACAGATTTCTTGATGAAAAAAAAAAGCTTTAAAAATTTAAGTTGAAAAATCCATTTATTTGAAAAAAAATTGAAATAGTATGTGAAATGATAGAAAAAAAAAAAGTAAAAAAAGAAAAAAAAAAAAACGGATATAATTTTTCAAAAAACACGGAGACTGGAGATTGAAGCTCACAAAACCGGAGATCCGGCCTGAAAACCGGAGATGGTGGCAACACTAATCCCCTCTTTTGGCCTGCTCCGTCCACCCTCCGATAGCCGTCGTCGACAACCAGTTCAACCCTCCGCCTCCTCCGCTAATTGTCGGACAGCATCACTACCATGGCGCGCTGCCCACCACCTAACTTCAGCCTCCGATACAAGTCGCCGCCGCCAGGCAGCAATCACATTCACTGTAGTCGCCAATGCCGCTGAAGCACTGAAGGCCTTTTGCTGCCCTGTCGCCTACCAGTTCTCCGCTTCCTCTTCCATCTCCCGCTTTCACCTCCTTGCACCGCGCTTCCACCACCTAAATTCAGCCTCCGAACAATCGCTGTCCTCGCAAGAAGTCCATTCGCAAACGTGTCACGTCCGCCAATGCTGCTCGAGGCAACTGAAGGCACCTTTTGCTCTGCCGTCCGCCACCATCGCCGCTTCCTCTTCACCTCGTCTGCTTTCACCTCATCACAGGCTCGCGTGCCACCATACACTCACTCAACTATTAAGCCACCGTCACACACTCCACGTCCCCACCGCTACTTCAGCCGACTGCCGCCATGGGCCTCCATCCCCCCACCCCGCCATTTGTGCCACACTATCACCATCGCAGCACCACTCACGCGCCTCCACGTCCCAAGTCTCCTACGGCCATCGCATACCGCATCCAACCGACCCCAGCCTACGGCTTCTACTGGTCCCGCGCCTTTTCGCTACGGGTCCAATTGCGCAGTGACCTCAAAGACAGAAGCCTCCTCGCACTTTCTTTTACCTCAGTCAAGGCGGCGCCACTCACTGCCAAGGGCCGCAGCAGATCTCCACATCCAGCGCGTGTAGTTAAGATGCGAGACGAATAAAGACAAAGCGCGTCGGGCAGCGACGCGCCGCCCTCAGAAGGCTAATTTCGACTCTGCGGCGCTTTGGTGTCAAGCGACATTTAGGAACTCCTACTATATGGATTTCAAATCAACAGATCCGTTAACTAAATGGAAATATATCCAAACAGGAAATCCTGATGAGGACCAATACCCCCATCTCCGGATCAGCGTGGTCCCAGTTCTCCCTGATTCATTGAGTAATTGAGATCTTCTGGACGTAAATTGGTCTTCACAATGCGCACGTTTTGTTGAATTCCCCTTTTGCTATGTAAGGCGTAACAGTTAGAGGTAAGGCGAGTTGCTATTTTGTTATCAATGGAGAAAAAAATCATTCATGCATTTCGTTTTACCGATGCCAATAAATTCTTCTATAACTCTGGAACTAAAATAACTAGTTTTTTTCAAATATTGCTAAACTTGCACTTTTAATTTTTTTTATTTATTTATTTATTAACAACTTTTACTCATCGTCAACTATTTATAGAGTTAAGATGTTGGAAAGCTGGATTCTGAACTCGTGAAGTGAAGAAAACGGTGCGCAGATTGGATTCTTCTCCCCTATCTATCCTTTTCTCATGCAGTTGTTACTGTGTCTTGACTAAATTAATCTTGTAAATCTAAATATAGAGAACTCTTCGCGTATTGAAAGTCTACCTCCCTCTTCTGTCCTTTACGCGTACACAAGAGGGAAACAACGTTGGCGAAATGAGTTTGTGTGTACTGAAACATTTATTAACAACTTATTTGCAGTAAGATAATTTACAGATTCCGTACGTCTCTAATTGCCCTTTTCTATTTTTTTTTGGTTAAAAATAAAGGTTGCTCAAAATTTCCGGACCCATTCTCCTCCCAATGTTATAAAAGGATCCCATAACCCTTATTTTGTAGATACGGAATGACTGAAGGTTCTTGGTCCTACAATCCAGGTTTTACGGCCACGGAATGCACGATTTTAGGAGTTACTCTGATGGTTGTGCGCAATATCATACAAGCTATAATCGGATCGTTTTTCCACTTGCGTTTGTCTGATTTAAACAAAGCATTACAAAAATTTATTATTGGTAAATCAGAAGTGCAATTTCTCACTCTCCTGATAATGCGATTTTTTCCAATCTATTTGTTTTGGATGATTGTGCATGATGCGAGAACACAAGAAAGATTATACTATAGAAATAATAAACATGATAAATTGATAAAATTTAAACGAAGAGTATTCTTATACGAGCGTTATCGAATGACACGAACTTAAAAATCAAATTTCAAAAATTTTTATACTTCATTTCTTCAAGTAAATTTTGTTATTATTTTCAACAACTGAAGAAAAGTAAGGTTTAAATTGGTACAATAATGTATTAAATCTGAATGAAAAATAAGGAATTAAATACACATACTAGGAAGTATTGTAATCAAACTCTAATAACAAATTATGCCCAATGTGTTTCATTTAAACACAAAAAAGTAGAATGAGTTTGAGTTTTGAAGTGCGTCTCCTGAATTTACTGCGAGTAAGGATAAACATAGAGCTGTTCCTCACAATTAAGTTATCATATATAACCACCATGCGAATCAAGTATACGTCAATAGCTTCTCTTTCATCAAGGTGAACTATTGAAACGGATCGCTGAGTATCTCAAACAAATGCGCGTCGCTGCCGTCATTCACCAGCAAACGCCGACGCGCGGGGTCCACAGTCACGATATACGGCCCCCCATAACTCCGTGCGATGAACGGGGCACTGCCGACGAGGAAAAAGACCACCACACTGGCGCGCGGGTCAAGGCTTTTCGGAACCCCGCGTGACAAGCAGCTGCCGCGCGCGTCCGACAGCGGTCCATCGTGCACACTGCCGCCTGCTGCGCACCGCTCCGCTGCGCGCGGGAACAGGCGTAAGTGCTGCGCCGCGCGGGCGGGGCGGCGACGGGGGCGAGTGGAGGCGGTGGGTGGCGGCGGGTGCGGGGCGGCGGCGGGGCGGCGGCGGGGCGGGCGGCGCGGGCGCGGGGTGGCGGCGGGGGCGGCGGCGGGGTGGTGGGCGGGGACGGCGCGGAGCGGCGGCGGGGCGGCGGAGCGGCGCGGCGTGCTTGGTGCGTGCGTGTTTGTTTGCACCGTTGTTGCGTTCCGTCATTTTCCATTCTGTGTCGGCCATTTGCATCCGCCGCCCCCACGCCCCCGCCCCCGCCCCGCCGCGAGAGCGTTCATTAAATCGTTGCATTCTTCGCTGGGCGGTGTTTGCGTTGTGCGCTTTCTGCAGAGCTGCTCCGGAGGGAAAGCTTTGAGGAGCTCTGAGATCACGCAATAGAGGTAGATCTTAATATTATTAGAGATCAAGTGAAAAATTGTGCCATGAATTAATGTTCTAAATGTGTTTGAATGAAAAGAGTTACCATTAGAAGGAAATAAATAAAACGCTAGAACTCTGATAAAAAGCCAATGAATAGAAATATTTTGTTCGAAAAGAGCCAATAAGTTATTTCATTTTAAATTTGAAAGTTGGTTTAAATATCAGTCGACTACATGTTTATATCTTCCCTCCCAAAGCAGAACGCATTTCCCCCTATCAGGCTGTACCGGTCCAAAATTATGTAACAACATTTTTAAAAATCTCAAGGAGAAAATAATGTTATTTGCGATTTTAACATTAAGAAAACATTAATTAGTTATTTAAACATTAAGAAAAAATTAATATCAAATAACCAATTGCTTGTGTGGATATTGGGGCAACGTTAAAAAAATCAGCTACACACTTAACTGTGCGTTAATACATCAAGTAAATGAACAAATAAATAGAGTAACATGTGAACCTCAAAACTTCTAACTTTACTGCTGCTACGTAACTCAAAAATTATGAGTTATGATTTCATTTGCTTTTTATTGACACCTCATATATTATCTGTCAGTTCTGACAGTCTGAAATTACGGAACACAAACCCGAATACACTATGTGTTATTTCTCCGGGAAAAAATTCCATTGATCTCACATGAATTCAATATTCGATAATGATAGAGCATTATTGAATGAAATTAATACAGGTAAATTCTCTTCCCTCTGTGAATTTAAAGCACGGTTTCGTTTAGAGATAATTTAATATTTTATAAAGCGATGTAACAAAACATTTCGTTAATGGTTTGAGTCTGTACCACTCTTGAACACGTAAACTAAATATAAGTTTCATCAAACTTATCAAGTTTCTTTACTATTTTACTCACTTTGAATTGGTGAATGGTGATGGTGAATTCTATATCTACTGTGTTGATTTAAGTCTCTTTATTTACTTCAATCAGCAGAGAGAGATACGTATTTTTAAAAATAAACTCACTCTACGAGAAAGTTGTTTAATCAATATTGGCATGATGGAATCGTTCTTTGATGAAAATATTAACACTACCTGCAGTCAAATCATATTCGATATGCCAGAGTACTTTCTAAAAGAGAGTTTTGGAAAAAGAATAATTGATAAATATGTGCAATCTGTAACCACTGATATGTACAAAAAATAAACGTTGGGGATGTCGAAGTCCTTAAAACCTTTATGAACATATTTGTTTGTAAAATGTATATTAGAATATTAATCATCGTCTCTATTTCCACCACAACTGTCTCCTCCGGATTGTGTGTATACGTTGCGCAACTAGGAATGTGCTGAGATAAACGTTAACGTATGTTACAAGTATTTTTTAGTGAAAATGTGCCTAAACTAGTGGTAACCAAGTGTAAACAAACAAAGGTATAAAATAGCGTTTACTTGAAATTTAGATCTCGAGAAACACAAAACATACGTACAGTGTACTTACAAGAATGTTTACTGAAGACTCGAGTTTTTTTCTCTACATCTTCCAAACAAGGGATCCGAGTTTAATATAATTAACAACAAAAATCGCAAAAAATAATATAATTTTGAGAACATACTTTGGAATGTCTGGATACAAGACAGTTTTCTCCAGTTAGATAGAATTTTATTCAATTTGGAAATCACAGCGAAGCAGGCAGGAAGTGCCGTTAAATCTGCTGAAGACCTAATTCAGTTTCTATGAACCACTTCATTGTCTAATTAATTTGTTTTCAGACTTTTGGTTTCTTTGAAAAGCACAAACATTTTTGAGGAAACGTAAAACGAGAATAGGAGGTACGAACAACATCTCCTAACCAAAACTTCCCACATATTGTTTTATATTTTAATTTGTCTAAAATCAAATTTTGATTATAACTTATACTTTACCCCTGTAACTAATCACAAAAACAATAACAGTGATTATAAATAACACATATGTGAAGAGCTATGCGTTCTAGGTTTGTTTCCACTTGTGAAAATCGCAGACCACCTGTAGAGGTGGTTGGGGACCCATTTGAAACCTTGGGGACTGGCTTAACTCTTAACAAACAGCCGGGAGGCAAGGAGACTTCCCTAACTTTTAGTATCAATTGTGAGCTCCCTTGGCTTCTGAAAGAGGTGTTCAGGAACTCATTTGAAATATTGAAGAGCCGATTTACTTTTTCACAGTATGTTTGCATTCACGGACATTTTACTTTGTAAGACAATAATTTTGCAAAGGATACAGAATATTTTATCGGCTTTGATTAAAACACAAATGTTCTAACCATAACCTCTAGTTAACTATTATGTGTCGTTTCTCGAGAAGAAAATTAAATATAAACGAATTATTTTGCACTGAAATTTTTACGTTTATACATTGCACAATATTCGTATTGGAACATCTTACGATACGTCTTCCCTTAATAACTAATAATTCCATCACCCAAATTAACTTAATAAATGTTTCGCTTCTCTACATTAATTGTCAATTAATGTGACGTGGCGCCCCCGGAAAGTGATGATAGTATGAATCAGACTGTATCAAACGGTGGACTGGCTTATGTGTGTCAGGGCATCAATTGATGTCGCTGCAATGCCTGGCAGATCATATGACTGGAATTCCGACGGTGGGAAGATTTCTTCACGAGCTAGTTACATTGAATTTACCTGCTCTCTAGAAGGGAATTCGGCGGAAGGGAGCAGTAGTTTTCCTTGGATTCTCCGATCGACACCAAAAAGAACGGAGAAGAACCCTATTAAACGAGGCACGAACTGCGCGCGATCTTTCTTTTCCTTCTCGCTCTTTACTGTCACACACACACACACACACACACACACACATACACACACTTACATGCATTACACAACCAGACGTGCCGTGAGACCAGTCTAGAGCATTGAACATGTCCCGACTGGGGCGGTGCCCCGCTAGTGTGAGGAAGACCTCGCAAGACGACATATAGGTCGGCCCCGGATCTCGCCATCCAGAGAAGGAAACCGCTACAGCCTTCTGCGATACAAACATGCACTACACTTACGGAACTGATACCCTTCGCGGCTGACTCATCCCAAAACAGTGATAAACTCTAATCGGTGGCGTGACCTGGATGTGCGTTTGTGTGCGGCAGCACCCCTGGAAGACGAGACAGCCCGAGACGGAGTGTTGTAACCGCTGGTGTGTGTGTGTGTGTGTGTGTGTGTGGCAGGGCTCGTGGGGCAAGCGCGCCTGGGACCAGCTGCGGCCCGGCTGGGGCAAGCGCGCCTGGGAGCGCTTCCACGGCTCCTGGGGCAAGCGCGACGGCGTGGGCGCGGGCGCGGCCGGCGACGAGCTGAGCGGCGAGGGCGCCTTGGACCTGGGGCTGGCCGACCCGGCGGCGGCGGCGGCGCTCGAGGCAGAGGCCGAGGCGGAGGTGGCGCGCGCGCTCGGGCTCGACGAAGACACGTAAGTGGACACAACTGTGCCATTCAACAAGTCGCGAAGCCAATGATGAGTACGCCCCGGATGTTTATGACATGGCATATTTTTTTTCTTTGTGTTATTTCCATGGAAAATGCATGATTTCATATACAATGACTAAAATTATTCAATGTTCACGTGTCTTATAAAGTGATATTTTGTTTTTCTGTGTTTCCTATGGTTATTTTCCGTAAATTTTTCATACTGGGGTCATTTTTTCCATGAATTTTTGTTCTTTTTGTCATATTTTTATCTTTTTGATTCCACTTTCGCATACTTGCTTGCAGTAGTCACAAAGATATTTTTCGCACCTCCTAACAGTTATTCAGTTTCTTACAATTGATGTATCTGATTATTGTCTGCCTTTCTTATAAATATTTTTTTCAGTACTGTTTTGACAACCTTGGCGTAACAGTTATTTCTCTTCCACATCGACTCCCAGTTTGAGCGCAGTCCGGAAGATGCTCATCCCTCCAGTGGACCAACTATTCAGTAGCTGTTTTTCAGGCAAACTTGGCGTAACTGTTATTTCTCTTCCACATCGACTCCAATTAGAGTGCAGTCCAAAAGATTTTCTTCCCTCCAGTGTCCAATTTCTTTCAGTGGTGTTGGCAACCTTGGCGTAACTATTATTTTCTCTCCACATCGACTCCCAGTTAGAGTGCAGTCGGAAGATGTTCATCCTTCCAGTGACCAACTATTTCGTACTGTTATTTCAGGCAACCTTGGCGTAACTGTTATTTCTCTTCCACATCGACTCCCAGTTAGAGTGCAGTCCAAAAGATTGTCTTCCCTCCAGTGTCCAATTTCTTTCAGTAGTGGTTGCAATCTTGGGTGTAACTATTATTTCTCTTCCACATCGACTCCCAGTTAGAGTGCAGTCCGGAAGATGTTCATCCTTCCAGTGACCTACTATATTCAGTACTGTTATTTCAGGCAACCTTGGCGTAACTGTTATTTCTCTTCCACATCGACTCCCAGTTAGAGTGCAGTCCAAAAGATTGTCTTCCATCCGTGTCCATTTCTTCAGTAGTGTTGGCAACCTTGGCGGAACTATTGATCTCTCCACATCGACTTCCAGTTTGAGCGCAATCCAGAAGATGTTCATCCCTCTAAAGTCCAATTTCTTTCAGTAGTGTTGGCAACCTTGGCGTAACTGTTTGTGTCGTGCGCCAGGGCATCTCCCTCCGCGGCGGCGGCGGCGGCAGCGCTCCTGGCGGCCGAGGGCGGCTCCGCCCCGCTGCAGCTGGCTGCGCTGGGCGACGCGGGCCCCGAGCGCGAGATCGAGGGCCAGTACGAGGACAAGCGCGCCTGGAAGAACCTCGGCAGCGCCTGGGGCAAGCGCGGCGACTGGGCTAGCTTCAGAGGTACGCACCCACCCACGCACACACACACACACCCACGCACGCATGGGCAGAGCGACCCTCACAAGACGTATGGCGGTGCAAGACGCATTGGCTCGAACCGCGTAGATAAGTACGGGTAGCAGGTAGTATTGGACATTTTATTAATATTTCATCTATCAAAATGTAAATTAAATATATTCAAAAATACTAGTCCCCTACAGCAGCAAAAATGCTGTTCAAAATTCAATACTATTCAGCTTTAATTTTAATATAACCAAAAATGTGTTTACAAATAACGCAATACGAAAAAAATACTCGTATAAATACAGTTAAACAGATCTGTTTATACCAATAATATCAAAAATTGTTTTTTTCAAAACGCAATATGTAAATTGCAAACATTTAATGGCGGACTATCTCTTCCATGGAGCCTTGCTGTCGTTTGATGTCTGCTGCTTTGTAAGCAGTGACCCAGTGATTATTAGAATTCAGTCATTATGCTCAGAATGAGTATAGGCATTCACATACCTATTCTGCCATTGGTATGTGAAACGTTTAATTAAATTTTGGATTTCCTGGAGTATAGTTTTGAAGTTCTTGCGAAATTATTAAAATCATAGATACATTTTCTTGAAAAAAGGGCATGCTTCAGGTCTTGGAAGCGTAGAAAATTAGTGAAATTTACAAAATATATAATAATAAGTATTTCATAAATTATTAGTGGCTTACAAAATTATTTATGGCTTGGGATCAAGATTTTAAGACAATTTGTTTGTTGACGTCATTTTCCATTCATTTCTGCATTTGATTTTTGAAAAGCCTGTTGAACTGATGTTGCTTTTAGAGATACATAAGAATGAATTGGGTGTATTCATATCAAGTCTTCTGTTGCATCTGCGATTCTCAATGCTCTATACAACGACTTTTTGAGGAATAACTAAGATCGAGTAATCTCTACCGTCTGACGAATGTTTTGTAGACGTTTACAAGATGGCGCTTTACCACGTCGGCTGCGGCACAAAAATTAATACGTTTACTATTTAATTTCTCAGCTCTAATAGACTATCGAATTGTGGTTTTCATGTTTACATAGGTCTTACTGAGACAAATGTAATTGTCACGTTTATTTTGTCTCTGGCCCTTTGCCTAGCCGGAAAATAAGCATTGCACTTTCAAATTCGTTCTCATGATTTTAATGTGTCGACTTATTCTTCCGCGAGAAAAGGAGTTTCACTTAAAGCCTTGAACTGTTCGTGTGTTGAAATTTTCAAATGACAGCTGAACCCTCTGCATAACCATCTTCTGCTGCCGAGAAGACAGCTGTGGTTTCCCCCAGCCCTCCAATGTAGTGTCGGCTCAAGTTCGGTATCGGTGACAGTTGATACTCCTGATCGTGACTACGTCTCAAGCACAGGATCCCAATCACATGGTATTAGTTGACCGTTGTGTAGCCCAATAACTCACGCACTCAGACACCAACTGCATGTCAGGACGACGGGAGGAGAGAAGAGGCATAGCTGGAAGTACATCTGAGACAATGCTTTCGAGTTTTTTTTACTACGAAGTACGCCTAAATTAATGGTTATTTTATGAATTAAAATTATTTACTCCTCAATTGGAATGGATTATTGAATTAATCATTCTATCTAAGTAAGAAATAAATACTGTCTTTTGTATCAATTGTGTTGTTAATTGCATTAATGCTGCCGTTGCTTAGGAATATTGATGATTTACAGCTCCAATATTTGATGTCTAGATTTCCAAGTTTCGAGAATACCATGCTTGGTACTGTGTAAATGTGCAGTTACTTGTGGAGCAACAATGTTCGCATTCTTGGAAAAAAACTAGATCCCTTCTATGGACTATTTATACACAACGTAGATATGAACGAGAGGTTTCCAAAATGATATTAATTCAAAAATGACCACGACTAGAAATAAAATGTTTGCGCAAAACTTCAATGATATGTTTTTCTTCAAGTTTCTGCTTAATTATTTTGCAAAATGCTTCAAACTTTGCTTTGTGTGTCGTTTTCAACGCTTTATACAGTTTTAAAAATGTTTTTCACGTTTACTAATTATATTTTTAGTTTGTCTAAAATTATATTTTAAAAGGAAAAAAAACGATACGAAGATAGACAGTGACCACTTTTCCACCTAGAGGTCGAGGCAACTCGCTTGTTTGAAACGGAGCATCGGAAGGGATCTACCCTGCAATCATTTTTTTGAATGACTCATTGTCCCCACGTTTTCATCTGTTCGTATGTGTTATCAGCTTTTTTAAGGTACGATGATTAGTTTAATAATAATAATAATAATAATAATAATAATAATAATAATGTTTTAGAAGAGTAAGAAAAATGTACATTTTCACACCGGCACACCGAGACGCGTCAAATATATTTTTGTTTCGCAATTTTATATTTTCATCCTGCCACTCAATTCCCAGTTTTTACCTCAGGTTAACTTCAATCATTTGTCAACTTACTGGGAAAAACCACAGTAAATGGAATATCAAACGATGGTGTGGCAGCCGCAGGCGACAAAAAAATCCAACGTCAAATAAATTATGCACAGCAGTGAGGTAAAAATTATAGACAAACCATTTACATTTTTTAAAGGAGGGTGGTAAATTAATTATCCTGTTACAATAATTATGAAAAATGATACTTTTCGATAGCTAATTTTACTTTATGTAAGAGACTAGTTTAAAAACATTCCATTTTTGGAAATATTATTAGAGTGTTTTACAAAGAATTGAAATTGAAAGTCTAAATTATGAATTTTGTGGAAATACAAGTGTTAAACAAAATGCATGCGGAAACACATGCCATGTTTGAAATTTAAAGTCAAATTGCTGCAGATAATCTCGTTTTGACCCTAAAACATAAATGTAGTTGTTCTCATAAAATACTGTGTTACAAATACTAAAAGGAGAAAAGAAGTGCGTCCCTTAAATAACTGTTCGAAAAAGTTAATTTAATGTGGAACTGTTTGTATAAAAATGAAACTAATAAATGGATTTTTTGAGATTACTGCAATAGTCAGAAATGTATTTGATTATTATCTTATTGCATGAAAAGTAGCCTCCGCATTTATTCATTCCAAGGTCCTGAATACATACATGTTTATTCAGATCAACACCTGGCTACATGATCGTAATTTTAGACTTCATAGGCAGGGACAAGTTAAGTTAATGAAATTACATCCATGCATTATTTAGTTCTTTGAAATGTGCAATGCGATGTCAAAGCCCGAAATGTTGGAATTCTCTCATTCCTTTCACAAGAGCTCGTAAATTAAATTCAACTAATTAATGTCCCGCGCGATTCTCGCCACTGTTAATGAAAGAGACGTATTCAGTTACCACGGTGTGAAAAAATACAGCAAAAAATTTGATTCCCGATGCGTTTTATAACCGCCCATGCCACAACATGTATCAATACAATGCCATTATAGGCCACAAAGTATTAAGCAATGTAATACGTATAATATCAAAGTTCCCACATATTTTTAATTTCTGTTCGGTATCGATCCACTGTACACGAAAATAAATACATTATGAAACCTGTAAAACTCACATACAACAAACTACCGGAGATGGAAATTATCAAAATACCGCTTTCATATATCTGGTTCAAGAGTTTAACCAAGATAGACCAGTAGACCATAATATAGCATTTTGTTCGGAAATTTAATAAAAATTCTTAAGTGCAAGTTTCACAAGAATGAAATATTGAAAATAATCAAATAAATTTTTCTTGAGGAAAGCGTGTTACCAGAACGATTTTAGTTTTATACGAACGGTTCTAAATAATGGTATTCATTCATTCATGTGGTATTCATATGTAATATTTCTCATTTAATCGCTTTGTATTCAAATCTAGAATATGAAATTATTTCCATTCATGTTATCGAAAAAATGTTATTTATGTCGTATTATCAAACAATTGAAGTGAATTACATTTCTGTACACATTCCTCTTTGTTTTGATTTAACACGGTCTATACTAATGAATGGTAGAGAAAGCTTTAATCCGTCTATGCAACATTCAAGTGATAATAGTGGTCCTGAACGGAGCAAATGTCTAGCAAATTATTCAAAGTCTTCGTTGTTTAAAATACGCAATTAGCAAACTTCGGACATTTTGAGATTTCCAAATACAGAAAGGAGGGAAGCTCTGTAGGGTATCATAATTATTTTATTTATTTCTAATAAAACAAAGAAAATTAACAAATGGACACTTAACAGTCGTCCGCATTATTCCAAGTGTGAATTAATCCCAAAGCCATCAGGCTATGTGGGCTGGAGCGCTGTTCAACCGCCACAGCGATACCGCCGCAGCGATACTAATGTAATTTTTCGGAGGCCACTTGAGTAGAGTTTTCGGGGTGCTGCTTCGTTTTTCCACACCTCATTCGCCCACCCCATCACAACGATCTAACACATTTAAGTCTAACACATGTAACCGTCAACTAGGACAGGCGTAAACAACCACCGCACGTTCTAGTGAGACGCTTGAAGAACAGAAAGACCAGAGACAGTGGATCAACAGGAGCCCCATATTTAAAACTAAATGTAACAATTTATTTATTTTGTTAGGTAATAACCAACACGACTTTTATGATAATTCTACTTTAGCTATAGTTATCTATTTTTTCGCGTACTAATAAAAATATATTTTTTAATACAATTTGTAACAAATAAAATACGATAATGTCGTAGGCTTCCGCGGCCAGAGTCATGATCTGGGCTGTCCGGGGGACGCCGCGTCGATGGCTGATGTGCCGACGTTTCGACCGACATGTCGCGGTCCTCTTCAGGGGCTGTACTGCTAAGGCAGTACCGCGACATGTCGATCGAAACGTCGGCACATCAGCCATCGACGCGGCGTCACCCGGACAGCCCAGATCAAAATACGATAAATCACATACAGTGTAGATAGTAGTTATGATGAAGATTTTGGAATGTAAGCGCGATAATTATTTGTTGAGACGCTCCGGCAATATATCCGCGGAGTTCCTTTCCTTGTTAAATAATTTTTCTAGGCCTACATTAAATCATTTCCTACGTGTTACCAAGGTGACCAGTGCTCATAGTCGATCGCGAACGGTAGTATAGTTAGAAACACGATGCGTCGAAACATGTCGATACCTTAACAGGTAGCTCGCAGTTAAATTTTAGCAAAGCCTGCTTACCGTAATTTAGAACTGAGATTATCGTCACAGGAAATCATAAGACGATACAGAGACATATGAGCGTTTACTACTCACGTCCTCTGAGACGATCGGGATATTTTGTTCAAGTACACCGCATGTAAAGAGTGTAGTATTTTAAATGTGTGACCTAATCACATGCCGTTATTGTGCAAAAAAGTTGCCCAAATGTGAGAAAATTGTTTAATTAAACTTCATTACAATATTCTTTCGTATGTTAATAAACACACGTAAATAGCGAATAATTCATTTTTAGTTCCTCATATTCACATATCCCCCTGAGATAATCATTTTATTATTCATTCTTTCTTATGTTAATAAAGACACGTAAATAACGAATGGTTCATTTTTAGTTCCAGCTCCATTCACATATCCTCTGGAGATAATAATTTATGAAGTAGCTCGCATATTCACATATGTTGCCGCGCAGGTAGTAGATCGAAGAGTGTTCGAAATCAAGTATCTTTTGCGCGTAACAATATTTTGTCTATCGTATGGGTTATTTTGCTTCGTCACGGCCATTGACCATAATTGAAGCGCGTGCACTTGTGTTCAGCACCCTTCCTTTGAGTCCTACCCGAGATGTGGATCTCAATAAACTACTCTTGCCCTACCTAAGAGAACGTGAAGATCTCACTAGGAAGGGAAATTTCCAAAACGATTTCGTATTGCATGACACTTCCAGGGTTCTTACAGACCTCCAGTATAACAAGGTTTCTGTGGATTTTCCACCCTGCAAACTCCGCGTGTCTCAGCCGGGATTGAACCCGCGCGCTGGGGTGTTTCGAGGCCAATAGCCGAACCGCTCGCCCTCCTAGGTGCACACGTCAACAGTGTCTGCCGGCAAGACTTGGCTCCGAGGTGTGGAGGCTCCTTTTGCAGGCGGCGGCGGAGGCGGAGGAGGCGGAGGCGGTGGAGGTGGTGGAGGCGGTGGAGGCGCGCAGTGAGAGGGCGTCGGCGTGGCGGCTGTTGCAGGGTCGTGGGGCAAGCGAGACCCTGGCTGGAACAACCTGAAGGGACTGTGGGGCAAGCGGGTGGAGGCCAACAAGTGGAACAGGCTGAGCGCTGTGTGGGGGAAGCGCTCCGTCGGAGGTAGGTTCTTGCCACTCTGCTCACACACGCACACGCACACGCACACGCACGCACATACTCACACGCGAACCGACATGCACTCTTACGCTTTATCGATCGCACCCGGACTGATATGCAGACACCACAGATTACAGATACGCTTACACTCTGTGCCCATATTATGCAGTACTTCCTTCCCCGATGCACGTACTTCTTTTATTTTTATTTCTTTCCATTCTCTCTGCATCTTTCCTTTCTCTCTGTCTCTCACTTCCTCTCATTCTCCCTCCCCCCTCTCTCTCTCTGAAACATACATGTGTACTCATACACACGGGCATATAAAAAAATCCACTCACTAGCACACTCAAACCTAGAAACAGGTTCACACATTAATTACATTTTATATATTTTCCTTCCTCTCATTCTGCCTCTCACTCAATCTGTGTCTATCTCTTACACATTACATACGCATTTAGACTGATACATGCATTGACATGCCTCACAGTGACTTTTATACCTTGCAAACAACATTCATCTAACAGTTCCTAATTAATCATTCCCGTTCTCCTTTTGTTTCTCCTTTTCCATTTGGGTGAATATCACCTCAGTTTTGAATGCTGTTGAAATGTTTTAAAGTTAACTACTGCTCAATTTTTACTTTTGTTATCTCTCTCTTTTAAAACATTTATGTATTTTCTCGAAAAAACTTTTGATTAGATCTCTAATTATTTTTTAATTTATTTCTACCTGTTCAGCTTATTGTTTTTCAAGTATACAAAAACAAGTTTTCGTGGTTTTGCGTTTTCATTTGCAAGTTACTCTTAATTCTGGGAATCTCTTTTCTTTGTTTCCATAAGAAAATACATGCATTAATTACCAAAAAATTTAAGTTTTCTTCTTCTTTATTTCAATATTCACAAAATATAATATTTATTTTTAAAATTAAATTCGTAGCTTCTTATTTTAAATACTGGATAGCGTGTATGTTCATTGCACGGTCTTCATCGAGCCGCTTGTTTCACTTCTTTCATCGTAATAGTATCCATTTCTTTTTTATTTCTGATTTCTTTCGAGTGCCAATAATAATTTTTCATTCTTGCCCATACTTCAACCAGTTAATGTTTTTTCTTTTTGTTCTTTTTTAAATAAGTAAAGATACTCTCAATAATATCATAGATATTCATAATTTATGTGTCAGTTCGAAGCATCTGTCTGGCTATTTTACATTTTTTTCGGTTCTAAGTTTTGCAAATGCAGACCACGAAAACCTTTCCTCGCTCATTCAAAGTCTCAATTGCAATATTATTACACATTCTTCTACATAACATTTACACATACTTTTCTTTACACAACAGTCTGGAAGTATTGTCTTAGGTTGCGTCGTACTTGATGTTCGTCTGTGTTTCGTTGTATGTTTTGTTGGCGTATTTGGTGTTGTGTTGTTAGTAGTCGGCATTGGCTTTTTAGATTAAAAAATATTGAACTAAATATGTAAAAACGAAGAGGTATGTCTCTTACTGATCATCGCACCAGTTTGTGTAACCAGAAGTCTGCGTTGTCTTCGCATGTTTGTCTTGTAGTGTGTGACGTGTGCTGTTCCATTCTATGTGGTAATTGCACGCAAGAAGTTAGATGCCTTCGTGAAGTATGAATCTTACCTGTGCACAAGACCGCAGGGTAAGATGAAGAGTATTCACTGTCTTATTTCATGTTGTATTTGTATTTCTTTGTAGAAAAGGTATTCAATGTTTAAGTGTGTCTGTGCTTTTTGTCATTTAACTTCAATTACAATTTTATGTTTTAAAAAAAGTTCATGATACAATTTTTGCACTATTATTCCTTAGTATATAATGTAGAAGCTTTAGTTAACAATTAACTTAGACATATGTTAGTTCAATATGAAATGTTAACTAGTAAAAGTATACTATGATACATTTTCCCACATTGAATGTATTTCCGTTCCACGAATAACTCTTTGGCTTCTATATTTACCGAACAAATGAAGAAAATGCAGTGCTAATTCTTAGCAGGAAATCCAAAACACTATTTTTAAACACAATTTTAGAAGTGCAACATGAATTTATAAGCTTCTAAAGCATCTCTATTTACTAAGCTGATTGAAACGAATTATATAATTATATTTTATTTTATATTATAGCGCTAAAAATACGTCCATTGTAATTTTAATTATTCTAATATGAATGTTTCTTTCAAATATTACTAAAAGTAAAGAAAATTAATGTACATTTTAATCGTATTTGGTCCGAAGAATAAGTATATTTAACTTTCATAGGCATATTTATGTTAACCTATTAGAGCGACTTTGAATGGTCTTTTCAGAAATATTAATAATAAAATACTAATCAGTAAACTCTGTGGTAAAATTACGCAATTTTATCTCGCAATGTTTATAGACCATTTCTTTTGACTCGTTATCTCTTCCTATTAAAGAGAGTTCTTTTATTTTGAAATTCGCCAATGTTAAAATTAGCATACAGACCACGAGATACTCACTTTATATTACACCCTATGAATGCAATAATCATTTGACCAACTACGACGAAGGTAAAACACACAAGTTTAATCAAACTGCGTGACTCCACATGGACAAAACTTGCATGTTCACTTTATTCACCCAGATCTCGCAGCGGGGCAGAGCGTATTTAGATAAGGAAATTAAAGCGCAGGTGGAGCTAAAAATACAATAACTTTGATTGCAACGAGCTGAAAGGAAAATCCCGCGAAATAACAAATTACGGCGCTGATCCGAAACGCAATCGAATTAACGAAACTTGCGCCTCGCCTAAGCGCGTGGAATTGCAAGTTAAATCCGCAGAATGACGTCATGTGGCGTCAGAGGGCGCCGGACAGCCCCGCCCCCACACGGGACGGCCACCCGGGGAAACATCCACAAGAGCGCCTCGGGGATAAGAGAAGATAGAGATGATAAGAGAAAGCGACACAACAGCTGGTATTATGCCTACTGGAATACGCGGTTGTTTGAAGGATAAAAACACAATTACGTTATTAATTGTACAAACTATTAAATGAATGTTAAAAGTGAAAAAAAACGTCCATTCACACACTCATTAGGAAACGTAAGAGAAGGTTACAACTCACTACTGGAAATAGTTGAGTATTTCGTTGTCAGGAAAATCGTGACTGTTTGACAGGGTAAAAACATTATGATGTTATAATTAATTGTAAACATTGTAACAAATTTTTAAATATAATATGTAATTTTGTGGTTATTAAAATTCGACATACACCTAGTTATTATGGAGCTGTCATAAGCTTCGAAGACAAAATTTCATTGATTGAAAACAAGTGTGCAAATATTGCAAAATATGTAATGAATTCATATTCTTACCACAACAATATGCAATCCTGTTATTCTCGAAATGGATGTTTATTAAATTGTTATTAATTTTTTAATAAAATATATACCTTCTCGATATTAATAGTTGTAGTACAATATTTTGTGGATTACTTCATGCGGTTTTAAACTTCAAGACAGTTTACCTTTGTTAGAAATGACAGCACTTGCTTGGTTAAGAATTCGATTCTGGCTTTTAGATTTTGTCCAGTTAGGGTCTTTAAAAGGATCAAATAATTTAACAATATATTTGAAGGGAGATATTTCTTTCCAATCATGTACGCCTTAAATATTTTTAACAAACTGGTGAGTTTTGTAGAAGAGCACCATTAGCTTTTGAAGTCGGTTAACCTGGTGTGACGACGTGTAGAACGAAAAAATGTTCGCGGCTCTGATAGACTGTAGCAGTGGTTGCGGACTCTGTTAGGATGGGTGGAGGTGGGAATGGGAGGGCGGAGGCGACGGCCGTGGCGTGGGCAGTGGCGGGGGCAGGAGTGGGCTGGAATGGGGAGCGCAGGCAGGACAAAGTGGTGGTTGCCGCGGGGAACGACAAAAATCGAACTGCCGGCAGTAGACCACTTTGCTGTTTTACGGAAAGAGCGGTACAGCAGCGCCACTGTAGTTAGAACTCTGTTCCCGAGGACTGTATGACTTTGCACACAACGTTTTTAATGGTTCACAGCAACCAAAAATAAAATGCCTATTTATGATTTGTTAAAACAGTTACGTTTTGAGGGAACTAATATCTGTTGTATAAATAATCATTACTTATGTTTAACATTTCTTGAAATGAAATTTCATTATTCTTTGAGTTGATTAATGAAATGTTCACTAAATTAAGTAATTATTAATATTTATATATTGTTTCTGTTTCCCCAGAAAGTAAAGAATTTTAATCGGTAGGCTACCAGTTTACACATTCATTCCCTCCCCTCCCAAAGAATAAAATGTAACTGAATAATTAATATACATGTCAATATTTTGGTCATTAACTCTTTTAATTTCTTAGAGATGTTTCGTCAATAAAAGTTTTACTTGCATGTTAAAGGCAAATATGTCATTGTAGTTTAGAAAAAAATGATCCATTATTCTATAATATTAGATTAAATAGTAAATTTTATATTTATATCTACTTTTCAAGAAATACGCGTGTAATAATCAATTAATGAAAAAATATGATCATTGCTATGAGATGAAATAATTTATAGTTTACAGATTCTGGGATTAATAAAATTACTTTATTTCGAAACCAAATAAACAGTACGGGGTACAGGCCGATAAATGAAGCTTTTGCAGGATATCCATATATTTAAAAAGTAACTTTTGCTAATTTGAAATATTGACAAAACCGAATATTTTGTTATGTGCAACAATTATCAATTTTCACAAATATGTAAGAAATTAACTAATATTTGAGTATCTAATATTATTTAATTGTCTTGATTACACTAATATTTGAATATAACGATTCAAATTTATTTAGATTTATTTAAATCTGAAAGAAAAAATATTACGGAATTTGCATTTGAGGCCATAATATAAACCGTGAAATATGCATAATTATTAC